CTCACGGGAGTGAGTTGCACTGAGCCATTTGTACTTCTTTATAATTTAACTGTTCGTTTCTTGTATGATCTATCTATCTGTTTATAATTTAACTGTTTGTTTCTTGTATGATCTATCTGTTTATAATTTAACAGTTCATTTCTTGTGTTTTATATCTATCTATCTTTATAAATAGATGTATAAAATTATCAGCAGTCTGGTTTTATCTCTCTAAAGAACCTTGTCTAACACAGGCTGCTAATCGCAAGGTCAACAGTCCAAAATCATCAGCTGTTCCTTGGGAGAAAAATGATACTGTTTGCTCCCACAAAGAGTGACAGTCTCGAAATCCACTGGGGGCAGTTCTGCCCTATAGGGGTATAGGGTCCCTATGCATTGGAATCAGCTTATGGCAGTGAGTTTGGCTATTGGGTTTTTGGTTTGGGTTTTTCCAGAAGAACAAGCAAGTCGGTCTTGGATGAAATACAGCCAGAATGCTCTTTAGAAGCAAGGATGGTGTGGTAGTTGCATCATCTGTTGTCAATTTGAGACTTAAGAGTGAAGGGGTGGAGTTTCACCTGTCAATCAGGTTGCAGCTTGATGACCTAATCTGGAGGCGTTAAGGAGATAAATAACTGGCTGGAGGCAGGACACAGGCTCACTCCTGGAGAGACATTCTTGTTGACCAGCCACATGGAGACAGGCTGATGGCAGTCAGAGCCTCGGAGCTGGAGACCCACGCCAGCACTGAAATGCTTCTACCACAAGACTTTCCACCCACTGGGCTGTGATCTTCCTGCATTCAGTGTCATTGCCTGGCTGCATGAGTCTAAAGAGGAATTTATGGACCAGTATCGACCTATGGGGTAATATCGAACTTATGGACTAGTACCGATATATGGGGTGATATCACATTTTTGGACTTGATCTGGACTGGGATGTTTTCTCAATCATACAATCTCTCTTTTATATAAAACTCTCATACATATATGAGCATCTCGGGATTTGTTTCTCTAGTCCACTCGGACTGACATCTCCTGCACTTTGGACATGGACTGGTCTTAGTCCCTGGCAAAGGGCATCATGCTTGGGAAAGTAGAGGCCAGTGGAAAAGAGGAAAACCCTGGCGGAGATAGATTGATAGCGTGGCTGCAACAACAGGCTCAAATCTAACCATTTGTGAGGACGACCAGCACCGGGGAGTGTCTCATTCTGTTGAACAGGTTCGCTGTGAGTCAGACCCGATTGGATGGCACCCAAGAACGAGGCAGCTGCTGAGGATCAAGGATTGCCGCCTTCAATATGGATTGCTCTTCAAGGTAAACAAGCTCCAAATCCTCACAACTGGGCTAATAGGTAACAACATCAAGGTAAAGAGAAGAGAGATCGAAATTGTCAAGGATTTTGTCTCGCTTGGATCCACAACACATGCTCATGGAAGCAGTGGTCAAGATCAATAGACAAATTGCATTAGCTAAATCTACCAGACAAGAGCATGGAAAAGCAAAGCTGTTACATTGAGGACTAACGTGCGCCTGACCCAAGCCAGCGTATGTCCCTTCACCACCCCATGTGCATGTCAAAGTCGGACACTGCAGGAAGACAAGACAAATCGGTGCATTGGAATTCTGGTGCTGGCTCAGAATAGTGAAAGTACCGTGGACTGCTAAAGGACAAACCGATCTGCAAGACTCACGTACTGTGGGCGTGTTGTCAGGAGAGACCAGTCCCTGGAGGAGGACGTCGTGCTGGGTAACGTGGAGGGGCAGCGAGGAAGAGGCAGGCCCTCACGGAGATGGAATGACACAGTGGCTGCAGGAGTGGATCCCGCTGGGGAACAATTGTGAGAGGCCGGTGCTGGACCGGGCAGTGTTTCCTTCTGGCGTGCACAGGGTCGCCACAGGTCAGAACTGACCCCACAGCACCAAACCACAACCACAACCACATACCAGTAACAGGCAGTGTGCCTTGATGTTTGCTGCTGTCTCTCCCCAGAGACTCAGGAAACCCTGCCTCCCCAACCGTCTCCTCCCTGGGGTTGTCCTGATTCCCAGTCCCTCGGAGCCTGTCTGCCTCCCGCACATGGGAAGGAGGGCTTGTGAGGAACAGCACATCGGAGCAGGTGTGTTACTGGTGCCGGGCTTCCC